TGTAATAATGTTAAACAATAGACACATTAACAGCTGTTAGTCTTGAGTGTGGCTAATGTAATGATGTTAAGCCTTAGACACATTAACAGCTGTTGATCTGAGTGTGGCTAATGTAATAATGTTAAGCCTTAGACACATTAAAAACTGTTGGTCTGAGTGTGGCTAATGTAATGATGTTAAGCCTTAGACACATTAACAGCTGTTAGTCTTATTATGGCCAATGTATTTATATTAAGCCTTGGACACATTAATAGCTGTTAGTCTATGGCTAATGTAATTATATTAAGCTTAGACACGTTATCAGCCGCCAGTGTGAGTGTTGCTTATGTAATATATATATCCACTCCCACTGGTCGCAGCAGACTCTCGCCGTTTCAAATATCTAGTCACCGAGTATCGTATCCGTTCGAGTTGTGTCAGGCAACTGTTATCCCAATCCCAACATCTCAGTGATAATATGTTGCTCTGCCTTATCTACCCCCCCCCCCACACATCCCCTTTCTGAATATTCTTCTACACCCAGATGGAGAATATCAACTACTTTCTTACCGCCATACAAAAGTACGGTGTCCCCATATTCGATACCTTCCAGACCGTTGACCTGTTCGAGGCTAAGAATATGCTACAGGTGCGTGAGTTGTGCGCGTGCGATGAATGTAAATCAGGGCTCTGCACTGAAGCATCAGTCTCTTGTGTACTATTGTGTACTATGTGTGTGTTGGTAGCGAATTGGTACTACAACCCAGCCCCATGATTTTGACAGAGCGTTTGGCGTGTACTGTACATTTCTCAGGTCGTCAACTGCATACACAGCTTAGGTAGGACGGCTCAGGCCAAAGGCTTCGATGGGCCGGTGATTGGTATGTGCTTCTACTTGAGTTGTATCATTGTGCTGGTCGTGTATGCCTGGCCTGCTGCGTGCACATTAACACCCCGTTCAATGCTCGCCCTGCACAAAGGATAGCATTGCACATATCGATTGATCTTTAGTCACAAGTTAGCGGAATCGGATACAGTGGTGAACGCGAATTGGGAAGGGCCTCCTGGATCATCTTCTTCTACGTACTTGCATTGGTTCATACCAAAACACACTTCAGTATAATACAACGTGTGCCCGTATTTGTTCTAGTGTTTATAGCTCGGTGTTTAATGTGTTCGCAGGTTCGTTTACATGTTATGCGCCATATTCTGGCTTTTGATTATACGTCTCGCCCTATCGTAGTAGAATATACCGCTATACACCTTTGCTCACATGTTTATGTGAATGTTCCCGCGTTCAACTTGAATGAACCAAGACTCCCGGATCCAGTGGCCTGTACAATCTGTGCTTGTGAGGGTGGTGCCTGGAATTTGTATTTGTGGATCAATAAAATATAATACCCGTCTGATACGCTGCTGATTTCGTTTGAAACTGCCGATCACTTCCATTGAGTACTGCACGTATACTGCTTTGGGCACCCGTGTAGTGATATTCCTCATCTCCTCAGTGGGTGTTTGACCTATTTAGATATCCCTCAGCATTTGCCTCGTGCATCGTCTTGTGCATTTCGTTATCTCGCTTTGTATCCGTATTCAAAAAATACGCAGATATATATCATACTCGCTGTAACACTGCTTCTTGGTAGTATGCCTTTGGGACTTATGAACTTCGGATGGCTCGGCACCCACATTCGTTGTGCAGGCGTGAAGATGTCGACCGAGAACAAAAGAAACTTTGATGAGCAAATTCTGCGCAAAGGAGAGACTATGACCACACAACACACCGCGGGGTACACCGGAGGCGCTAGTCAGAAAGGTACGTCTGTGCTATGCTACAATAGACGCAGTGTCCCGCTATTGCTATCCAGACCAATGTAGTTTTGAAGCCTGTTCGGCTGTGCCAAGCGGTTTGTATTGGGAGAATGGAGTGAGTGTACATTGCTTGGTATTCATTTAAGATGGGCGGGCTGTTCTACTTTCATCTGTGCAGGTATGAGCTTCGGTACGAGGCGCGAAGTGGCCAATCCGGAAACGGCGACGCACAGGTACAACGGCCAATAGAATCACACAGCTTTTGTTACATACGATAAAACGTAATATACGATATTCATTTTATGGCGAAATTAGACCAGATTGTACAATAAAGTGCGTATAGTTATGCGAGAACTGTCCTTTTAGTGGGTCAAAGAGGTCAAAAGATGCGATAAATTAGTGAACAGTCTGATGTTGATTGTGCATTGATATCAACAACTGAATAAGTCTATCCGCCGTACGGAGGAGCTATGTTTGTTCTGTGCGGCAACAGGCGAGCTTCAATTGGTCAGTGAATGGCCTGATGCTGCGGATCGTTTGTGTTCTCATCACAGTTTTCCCTGCGCAACAGTGCCCCCTGTAAGCAGAACTCGTGCGAAATGAGGTCGTTGGCTACACGCCTAAGACATCTCTGAGACATCTGTGTCATCTATTTAAATTTTTCTAAATTGTGGTAGTTTTTGATGCTGTGGACAATATAGTAGACTTTATGCAGACAGACTCAATCATTTAAATGGTAAGCTGTAGAATACCATGATGGTTCATTTTTTATGTTATAGTATAAAATGGGTTTGTTTGGACTACCTCAGAATATTGAGATACCATAATCAACTCATGGATAGCAGGAACCCCATACAAGCATTAAGCTGCGAATAGAAACCTCCTGGTCAAGTATATTGGGCGTTTTTGCAGGGTCCAGTGATAGCTATTCACATTTATACGGGCATATTGCTATTGTTTTCGGTGGAACGAAGGCAGTATACGTCGTTGCCACGGGAAGCGCCATAGATACCGTCGGACATGCTGTAGAGATTTGATGAATCCCATCTAGGTCCTAAGTCGAAATACGGGATATGTTGATACACGGCCAATATATATTGACATGTAAATATGGTACGGGGAGGGACGTATCTCATTGCCGGCCTAAGATTAAACCAATCACTGAGTACGAACAAAGTGTTGTTCTTACATATGTAGTAAAGTGACAGACATGATGTATTTTGTGCTTTCTTTAATTTTGAGGGCTAACAAACAGCGAAATCAGAGTTGCAGACACAGTTTTGTATTCAGACATATCAATATCACGGCCTTCTGGATCAGGGGTCTCGAGGCGAAAATCAAGTGTCGTAGCAGAAATCGTATATTTTTCGAGACCCTGATCCAACTGGCCGTGACAATATTAATACACTGTAAAAGTGGCATATATCGTTTGGTCCATCCAAATTACATTAAAACTTCAGTCTTATTAACTCGGTTCAAAATGCGCAATCGTAAAATTGTACCCTCGTACATAGTAACCACACAGTGCAACAGAATAAATTTCAATCTACGATTCGTAAGAATAACGGACATGCCGAATTAGAGATACAACAGTTGGAATAGAATTTGAGCATGTTATGCTGTTCACCTACACCAGTGTATTTAGCGCAAACTGTGTACATCAAGTCGGTAGTATTGTCGATCCAATGACTTGCGACTGCGGTCACGTCCTACAAGACCGTCGCGTTTAGTTGCGCAGAACAGAAAACTTTCGCAGTTCAATAAGCACTTCAGCCTCTCGTATAAAAGTCATATCGGCCTAGCCAGCGGGCCGAGAGTCTGAGACTATCGTTTATCGGTTATACTACTATTTTGGAGTGAGAAAAAGTTTGTAGCAGGCACCAGGCTCCCAGCCCTAAATTAATCCATATGACAAGTGAGATGATGTTCGCAACTTTGCTTTCGACAACCTTCTACTCTAGCAATATTTATCAATAAATAATTAGATACATATGTACCAATGATAAAAGACTAAAACAATGTAAATTAAAATCGTACTGTACAGTCACATAGTGTTAAATTAGAGTCCTCGAGCTGTTCTGGGGGATGTTTGAAGTGATTTAG